GGCACGGGGCGGCCCCGGTCACGCTGGCCATCTGCCCGCAGGCCGGCGCCACCAGGAGCGTCACCCAGACCCCAGTGTCCATGAGAGGGGCCTGGGCCTTTCCAAGGGGCCACCGTGGAGAACTTCCCGCCCGATCCTCAGGGAATCTGCTCCACCCGGATGGGAGAGCGTGGTGGGTCCTGCACAGGGAGCACCCCCTTCCCCGGAGCCCCACGGCAGTACCTTGGTGTCCACGAGGACCTTCCAGAGCAAGGCCTCGATGTAGTAGTTGGTTCCTCCCACGACGATCGGGATCTTGTCTCGAGCGAAGATATCTTCAATGTGCCGCAGTCAGGGAGCGTAACGGGGACACAGACCCATCCTGCCCCGCACGGTCCCTCTCTGCAGCCCCAAGGAGCCAGTGGGGTTGAGCACAGGGTTGTGGTTGTGCCTGGGCTCTCACCACCTGCTTCTTCCTGTGCCAGGCCGGAGCCAGGACTGTGCCTGGGCCATACCCTGGCGATGCTGCCCGATGCCCGGCTCGGTGCAGTGCACAGGGATCCCCCCGTGCACTTCGGGCACTGCTTCAGCATGAAGCAAAAAGCCCCAGCGTTATCCCCGATAACCTGCGGTGTGCGAGGCCGAAGCAAGCAGAGCTCTTCCTCGCCGGCGCGCCTGCGGCGTGAAAGGATATGAGGGGGCCGGCTCTGTCCCTGAAATCCACCACGGTGTAGTTGGAGACGAGGGGATCCACAAAGCTGATCATGTGGTGCCTGCAGAGCCGCTGCTCCTGGGGGGACGCCTTGTTGGTGATGATGTCCAAGCCCTTGTACACCTGGGAAGGGAAGAGCCCTCGGTCACGGCAAACCCAGGGAGATGAACCACAATGGCCTTCCTGCCCTGGGGCGCCTGGCGCAGCACCCACAGAGAGGTGCCCGCCGGACGGAGCGAGCAGCAACGGGCAGCGCGGCCGGCCAAGCCGAGGGGACCCCGGCTTGGGGACACCGAGCGTCGCGGGCGCCTCCTCTGCCAGCGCAAAGGCTGCTTTGGGGACAGGCATTGCTGTACCCCAGGCACCCGGCTCCGTGGCATCTCCTGCACGTGCAATGCTCCCAGCTCGGGCGCGCGGGGAAAGTCCGGCTTTCTCCTGCTCCCCGCGAGCAGGGAGGAGGGAAGTGCAGCAGCTCGGGGAGAAAAGAGGCACCGTGTCCTCCTTGCAGAGCTCGGGGGCAGGAAAGGCTCCTGAGAGCTTCGGCATCTCCCAAGTGCAGGGCTGGGATCCGACAGGGAGGGATGTGTCCCCTGCACCTTCCCTGCTCCTGGCGCTGCCGAAACAGGAACCAGCAAGGCACAAAACTTGGTGAGATGCCAAGAAAGCGGATCACGCCGAGTAACAAAAGAGCAGGAGAGGAGTCTGCCCCAAGCACAGCCTCTCGCCGCTCCAGGACGTGGCAGTGCCCGGTCTCCCGGGGCTGCCAGCACCTTCAGTACCGGTTTTTGGCACAGAGCGACTGGGAGAGCAGCCCTCGAGGCTGCCATGAGGCACAAAAAACTGCTCTGGGCAGCCCATCCAGCAATGAAAAACGTCCAGGATTCCGCAGACTCCGCGTTTAGGATCCTGCAGCCTCCGCATCCGGGATCCCGCAGCCTCTGCGTCCAGGATCCCGCAGCCTCCGCGCCCGGGATCTTCAGCCAAGGGCCCGGGGAGGATGCGCTCAGTGTCCCCTGCTTGGAGCAGTCCTCCAGTTTGGGGCAAACTGACCTGCTGGGACACGTGGCTGGAAACAGCTCTGTCATTTCCTCCTCTGTCACCCAGAAATCCACCCTGGTCAGACTTCCAGAATCAAATTTCCCCTTAACCCCCCCGGGAAGCCACCAAGATTCCAGCTGCAGCGCGGCCTGCTCTGACCTCGGATGGTGACCAGGTGACACGGGGGTGGCCATGGTGAGGGACAGAGCGAGGTTACGGGAGCGGGGAAGCCCAATCCGCACTCGGAGCAGGCGAATGAGCCACCCGGGCAACTGAAGCCACTCGCGCCACTAACAGGAAAACTCGGAGACGGCCGGGAGCTGCCAGCAAAAGCCGGGATTTGCGCTCAAATCCCTCAAGGTTCCCCGGAGATGAAGCCGCGAGAGCCTCCCGGAATATCGGGAAGGGAGCAGAGGAGGACGCGGTGTCCGGGCCGGGGCCGGTGGGGAACACCGCGGCCTTTTCGGCCCCGCAGCGCCCGCCCCGCGCACGGCTATTTTCAGTGAGCGTCTCAGATAAACCTTGTTGCTCTCTAAGGCCCCAAACCAGATTAGCAGCTGCCGGAGCCGCGAGCAGAGGCCTCGGGGACTCAGCCCTCGTGCCCGCCGCGGCGGCCAGGGCCCCCCTGCGCCTCCCGGCAAGGCCGGGTCCTCGTCTCACGGGTGGGGAAACCGAGGCAGGAGGCAGAAACAGGAGCGACCCTTGGAAAACCGTGCAGGGACGGAGCCCGGGGGCGGACGGGCTCTTCCCAGCCCCTGGCTCTGCCGCCCGCAATCCCAGCAGGTCCCCCAGAGCCAGGATGGAGGCACTGCGGGTGAGGACAGGATCGGACACGACAAGGGGGAACACGTGGGGACCCCAGACACAGCCAAGCAGGTGGCTGCGAAGAGGATGGAGATGTCAGCGGGAGGAAGGCCCCTCGTGAAGCTGGGAGGGACTTCTCCGCTCCCAGCCCCAGGAAGACACCAGCACAGCCCTTGCTGAAGATTTGGGGACGTCCTCAGGAGCTGCTGGCTGCAAAATCCAGCAGGGACCACGCGAGGAAGGGACGGGCGCCCCAGCAAAGCTGCCTGGGGACGGCCGCGCTCTCCTGTTGTGCGAGGGACAACGGGGGCACCGGGCAGGCTCTCCACGGAAGCAGGTCCCTCCGGCAGCCAGCTCGCTGGGATGACAAACGGCAGCAGAAAGGACAGCAAGATTAAGAGCCGTCAGATTAACCTGAGCTCCGCCGAGGCAGCGGTTAAGTCCGTGACGTGACACAGCGACCCACGGCCACAAAGGAAACGCTCGGGAGAGACGGACACGGCGCAGCCCCAGCAGCTCCGAAACCCCCGCGGGCTCTTCCGGACCGGCACGGAGCCCGGTTGGGTACGGAGGCGCTCGGACCGGTCCCCGGCAGCCGCCAGCACAGCGGGAGCAACGGGGGGTTTAGGCTATCACAGATACACCCGCAACTCCTCCATGAGGATGTCAGAGCAGGGATACATCCCACCGGCACAAAGCGGGGAGCAGGGAGACCCGGCCGGCCGTGGCGCTGATCCGAGCTGTGCTTCCCGGCGGCCCCGGAGCAGGAGAGCAGGGCTGCGCATGGAAAATCCAGCGGGATCAAAACCGCGTGGCTGCCGCTCCGCAGTCACCCTGGGATGAGATGAGACGGAAAGGAGGGCAGGAGCCGCTGGTGCCCGGGTGCCATTGGACGCCTGCGGCCACGATTCGCCGAGCGGCCGCGTTCCCGGAGCGGGAGCTGGAGCGAGCGGAGCTCCAAACACAGGCTCAAACACGAGTCGACGGCCGCATCCGCAGAGCGCGGCGAGAGCCCCGGGTTCGGCAGCACGGCCCGGTTACCGGCTCCCACCGTTCCCTACTGCACAAACGGTCCAAAAGAAAGACAAGCTGGAAGATCAGGACTAGTGGAATTACACGCACCACGCTGTGCCTCTTTTCCTGGTGGGCACAAGGCGGTTCACGCGGCCCAGCCGTGCCAGGCGGCCAGGACGTGGGACGGCCACATTTGGTAAACTTGGCTCAGAGCTCCAGGTTTTTTCCCAATAGTTTAAATAATAATAATAATTTTTTAAAAAAGTTCAGCTAAGAGTCTTCCTATTGTTTGCTTAAAATTCAGGGAATTTTAATCTAACCCTCTGAAGTGCCAATATGCCAGGACAGGGAGCCAGGAGGAGGAAGCAGGAGAGCAAAATCCACTCTCTGAGCAGCATAAAGTGCAGGGCCAGCATCGCTGCAAGGCAACTCTTCCTTAAAACAGGTAATAACAGCATTAAATATCAAACTCAATGGGGAGCTCATGCGTTGTGCAAAAGGAACAACAAAAGCGTTGTTTAAGAAAGAAAACTCAGCGCTAGAAGTGCAATGAAACCCTGCAGCAGCTGGAACGTCTAGTGACAAAACGCTCATGGCTGAGAGCAACGAGGAGGGAAACCAAAGCTCGGGTGAGCGGCGCTTCCTGATGCTGCCTCTGGAGCGGAGATACACGACGTGACAGGAGAGGAGGCTACGGGCAGCGTTGCTGGCAAACAGCAAATATTATTTATAATAAATATTCCTTCCTGCACTTCACCAGCAACCTACGGCCTTTGGACTCCCACACGGCCCCCAGGGGCTGCCTGGGGGTCAAAACCCCCGGGCTGGTTTCCTACCCTCCAAAAAACACCAAAAATAAATTTTAAAAGGTTAATTTATTTGGCATTGGGCCAGGAGCTCCCAGGCCACCCGGAGCCAGCGCTGCTCGCTTGGGGTCTGCCTGCTTGTGCACAGCGGGGAAGACAGAGGGGGAACTAACGAGGACCATAAAAAATAAAACAAAAATAAAAGAAAAGCATACGCAAAAATATAAAATACACTGGGTCAGGCATATACTAGGTTAAATATGCACTGGGTTAAACGTATAGGGTTAAAGGAGGGGGGGAGACATGCGGTCCCACTGCCTCCAGCCCCGTCCCTGGGCACCCTCCACCCGGGACCCCCCGAGGCCCTCGCGGCCCCGGCTGAGGCACCGCAGGCCCCGGAGCCGCCCGGTTCCCCCGCCGGCTCCCCCCGGCTCCCGCGGCCCAGCCGGGCCTACCTGCACGGAGGCGG